CTGGCAGGGGGAGGAGCTGCAGGAGGTTGGCTGGCTGGCCCCACCCCCTGATCGGCCGGTTCGCTGGCCACAGTGGGCGTCATAGTGACCGGTCGTTTTGGTTGTTACAGCGTTCTAGTCACTGGCTTTTTATATACATATATAGGCTAGAGGAGTGTGGCATGCATTCGTGCCCCAGTGGTTCGGCCGGTTCGCTGGCCACAGTGGGCGTCATAGTGACCGGTCGTTTTGGTTGTTACAGCGTTCTAGTCACTGGCTTTTTATATACATATATAGACTAGAGGCCTGGTGCACGATCAGGGCTAGGTAGGGACGGGGAGGTTGGCCAGCTGGGGAGGGACCGTGGGAGGGCTCCAGGGCGTCTCCAGCCCGTCTCACTCAGTCCTGATCAGCCGGACCCCAGCAGCAAGCCAAGCTACCGGTCGAAGCATCTGCTCCTGGTGGTCAGTGCACGTCGTAGCAACTGGTCAACCAGTCAACTGTCTGCCCCTGGGTGGTCAGTGCATGTCATAGTGAGCGGTTGAGCGGCCTTAGCATATCATCAGCGTATTACCCTTTGATTGGTTGAATGGACGACCGGATGACCAGACAATTAGCATATAAGGCTTTTGTTATATAGGATGGACTCAAGCAACACCTGAGCTTGTTGTTAGAACGCAGATTATGCCTCAGGAGTTCCAGGAAGGGGGCCGAGGTTCTGCATTTTCAGCTGGTACCCAGATGCTGCTGTGGGTCGGGACATACCTCAGGCAGCGAGGATCTAGGCACCGGCGATGGTGCACACGCGTGTGTGTCCCCCTCACTCCCCTGTTCATGGCACATGTCATGTTGCTTCCTGCTGAGCCCCAGGCGGCCTTCCTCGCGCAGCCTCTGTCTGTTTGAAATGAAGCTCATTTACCACCTGCCTGAGGCAGGTGTTCTGGAGACGCAGCCTAAATCCTGCTGGGGCTGATCAGCCACTGGAAAAGCTGGGGCTGCCCTGGGCATCTTCAGGAAGAACACTGGAAACAAGCCCCTCATTCTTCCCTCCCTAATAGGACTGGCTCGCTCACCCTGAAATACGGCAGAGTGGTTGCTCAGCCACTTAACACAAAATGCATCCCGATGACAGCCTTCTCAGAAGCCGTCTGACCCAGGAACCTCCCTCCCGGCATCTGTTGTTGGGATGGACTCAGGGTTCTGGTTTCTGTGCGAAGCGTTCACTCCAGCAGTATGCGCAGCACGGCAGCGTTGGGCCCCGTAACTGTCCAGCTCCAGGGCCCGGGAGGGATGGGGTTTTGGCACCAGGCATCCCGCCTGGCAGTGCCATCCTGCAGCCGGTAAAGCACATTCTATCGAAGGGAACATGACTTTGGGAAATGCTGGGAACATAATATCGAGTGGGAAAAGCAGAGCACAAACTGCATATACAGCCGGTCTCATTTGGGGGGAGGAAATCTATGTGTGGGAGATAACTAACGAGGAAAAACAAACCAGACATGGATCGTGGTTCGATCTGCCTCTGAGACTGTGGTTCTCAGTCGGGGGACATTTGGCAATGTTTGGGGACATTGTGGTTGTCACAGCTGGGGCGGGGGTGCTGCTGGCTTCCAGTTAGGAGGGGTCAGTGGTATTACTAACCACCCCACTATGCACAGGATAGTCCTTGTCACGAAAAGATGATTCCGGTTTGAAAGGTTGAATGGCGCTGAGGTTGGGACGCCTTGGTCTTGATGGTATTTATTTTCTTTATACTTTCCATGGTTTTTCAAGTTTCCTGAAATGAACACATTTTACTTTTATAGAAGGCAGATAGAATGAGCATTATTTTTTTAAGAAGAAGTTAGGGTGCTGGTATTGGGGTGCAGGGAAGGTGAGCCCCGGGGACCCAGGCCTGGGCAGGCTGCGTTGGTCAGACACGGGGAGTTGCGTGTGTTCTTAGGGATGATGATGTTGACAGTGGAAGTCTCATCAAGGATATGAGGAGCAATCATGCAGTGCATGGAGGGGCAAGCGCACATTGTGCCCAGGTTCCCAGGCTGCCAGATAGACTAGAGCAGCGGTTCTCAACCTGTGGGTCGCGACCCCTTTGGCGGTCGAACGACCCTTTCACAGGGGTCGCCTAAATACATCCTGCATATCAGATATTTACATTACGATTCATAACAGTAGCAACATTACAGTTATGAAGTAGCAACGAAAATAATGTTATGGTTGGGTCACAACATGAGGAACTGCATTTAAAGGGCCAGAAGGTTGAGAACCACTGGACTAGAGCATCATCCTCTGAGGCTGGGAGAGGATTTGTGGGCTGCAGGCTGGCACCCACAGGGGGCTAGAGGCCAGGCCTGGGAAGAGGACACGAAGGCTTGGCACTTGCGAGGGTGCTACCGAGGTGATCCCCGGAGTATATCCAGCTCTCCTCAGCCTGCGTGGTAGTGACTCACCACCCCAGGCTGTCAGTTATCATTAATAACAGTTACGACTTAATACTTGATGAACGAATGAGCAAGTGAACACGTGGCTATTTGCGATGCAGGGTAGCTGCCTCTCTTTGAACAAGCTCATCAGGAAAATTAGAATTTGGGGGGGGGGGAGGTAGACCCAGTCTTCATGGAAACCAACAGTGTGTCCCGCTCTGCCCTGTGGTGGGCAGTACTGATGGCTGGGTGTCTAGCAACCCCAGGATGCCTGCCCCTCCTTCTCGCAGCCCCGGGAGACCTTCATGGCTGGGCGTGAGTGGTGGTGATCTGGCGCCACCCAGTGGAAGTTTTTAAGTCTGCAGCCCTGGGTAGGCTGCCTGGCTACTGGGTACTGGGGCCTGCCCACCTGGTTGCACAGGCCAAGTATCGAAGGCTGATGGTCTTGCTGGCCTTGGTAGAGCACCTCCTAGCCTGTCCCCTGCCTGCCTGGCTACCGGGGCTGTGGTGGTGGGACCCTCTCAGACCCCTTAGCAGGTGTGAGATTGGCAAGGGACCTGCCCACCAGTGCCAGGCCTTTTCTGACCCACCGTTCCATGGTTCTGGCTTTCCTTGAACCTGCCCCCAGGAAGGCACAGGCGAGGGGGAAGGGGATGGCCGAAAGGACCTGTTGGAGAGTGGTGTTTGGGGTAGAAAAGAGGTGAAATGCTGAGAGTTCATTTGCTTACTCCACGCCCCCCTCACTGACGCTTGTTCTATTCTGTACATCGTTCTTTGCCGGGCACCGGGCCACAGGCTGGCGTAGCCCCCACCCTGATGTAGGGTCACAGCTGGGGCTGGAGAAACACAGGAGAGAAGGGATGGTTTCCCTGCAGCAGTGATGGAGCTGGAGGGAG